TACATAGTACGCGCTGGGTCGCTTTCTGAAAGACGGACCCCAAAAACTAGCGTGTCGTCTCTTCAGTTCGTGGCGCAGCATGTGAGGCCTTAAAACTTTGCAGTTCTCTTGCTCGCGCGTAGTCAGACAGCCCCCAGTAATGGTCTTGGTGATGCCAGTCTCCAACGCTGGATAGTTAACTACCGCAGAATCAGGCGCCAACCTTCCCTTCATTGCCGGGTATTGGCGCGAGACCCAGTCAAAAACGCGCCGTACCCCTATTAACGTCAATGTGGGGTCCTGCAAAGCCTTCGTGACTTCGTGGGAGTCGAACAGCGTCGACAGCAGCTCTGTAGCTTGGGCAGTCTCACTCTCCGATAGCATGAAGCGAGCGATACCATACTTAGAGATTGTCACATGGTCCATTGATTGCAGTGCGGGATGTAGCTTAGTGTAGCGCTCTACCGTACTGAACAGGATTGACCAATGCGTCGCGTTGCGCACGGCAGGCGTCAGCGGCGTAACCTTTCTTAACGCAGCTCGACACGTGATAGTGCTCAAATGTATCATCAGTGCATGAAATTTGGCCAATAGCGTCTCTTCATTGGCCAAAACGTCGTTCACAGCCAGCTGAAAACGGAGACTTGTACAACCAATAAGAGGTAGTGCACCCAATTTTCGACCAATCTCCTGGTTCACCGAACAATTATCGCCAATCATGAAGAGGACCGATTCCCATGGTCTGTTGAAGGTGGACAGCGTGTCCGCTATGAGGTCAAACAGACTCTGAGCTCTTAAACCTTCTTCGTCTCCAAGGGGACAGAAAGCCAGTAACACGAAGCGGTGTGTAAGGCACTAAATGCTCTCGTCGTAGTTAGGATTCCGCTCCTTTGGTTGCGAGACCGTTGGGTCATCAAAAACCGCCATGATGGCGATGAAGTGGTAACCACCACTAGACCACCACCCCAAACTTCTCAGGAAGCTTGAGAGCAATGTCGTCTGAGACGTAGGTATAGAGAAGATCAATGTACTTCTGCAGCGTTACAGTCGAAATCGTCTCCTCTTAGCGTTCTTACGAACGAGAGGACGCTCACCGAAATTCACGGGCATGTGGTTCATGACGCACCACTCAATCCAGCGGAACACGTCACTAGTCCGCTGGTCTGACAGTATGAGCCCAAAGCGGTTGCTCTTGCGGTAGGCAGCCACAGCTAGCTCTTGGTAGTCAGGATGACGCTTCAGGAGGTGGTGGACTTGATTAGTGCAGCTATTACCGCTCTTGTATACCTTTTGACAGGTGTTGCAGCGGGCCTGTTTAGGTGCGAGCTCAGTGAAGAGCAAAGAATAGAGATCCTTGTTTGAAAACTTCATGATGGGCGTTGCTGGAGGTAAGGGGCTTTAGAAGAGTGTT